ACACCTTGGACTTGGGTTAAAGGTCGTATTTTCTGCCTCTCACCCTCCTCCCTTGCCCTGCCTCCACTGCAGCCGTGATCCTAGGCCTTAGAGTCCTTTGAGGGGTATGGGCAGCACTGCCCTGGAATCATAGGTTGGGGGAGCCCAACAGGCTCCCCCAGGCAGTGGGAGGTGGTACAGGAGGAATATATTCTATATTCTAGACAGAGGGAATGGCTTCAGCAAAAGCATAGAGATGAGACTGGTTTGGATCATGGAGCACACAACAGGATCCAGATACTTTTAAAGAAACAAGCTCCATTACTGAACCAGCACAAATGATTGTGAACTTTCTTGAACTCACCTGAGATCCTTAAGATCTGGGAGTAAGTGTGGGGTCAGGACCTCAATACCATTCTACAGATTGGAAACCCAAAACAAATCAGAGGTAGGGCTGAGTCCAGACACACAGGCACCAGCAAACTGCTCCATATGCTATACTTCTCATACTCCCTAGCTCATCTGTTTTACTTTTAAGGGAGAGGAATGCTTTGAACATTCTGAAACACAGCTAGGGAGACACAGGAGGGACCAGTGGTGATCTGGGAGGGCTGGAGTACAAGATGAGAAAAACCACATTTACCTTTCCTCCAGGTGCACCTAGTGTGCACACTGCCTCAGTGCCTCACTCTTTATTTTTTTTGACATCATATTGGCTTTTAACATTGTGTAAATGTCAGGTGTACATTATTATATTTCAGTTTCTGTATAGATTGCATCGTGTTCGCCACCAACAGTCTAGTTTTTATCCATCATCGTACATAAATGCCCCTTTACCCCTTTCGCCCTCCCCCCACCTCCTTTTCCTGTGGTAACCACTAATCTGTTCTCCTTATCTATGTGTTTGTTTGTTTATCTTCCACATATGAGTGAAATCATATGGTGTTTGTCTTTATCTGTCTGACTTATTTCACTTTGCATAATACTCTGAAGGTCCATCCATGTTGTCACGAATGGCACTATTTTGTCTTTTTTTATGGCTGAGTAGTATTCCATTATATATATATGCTACATCTTCTTTATCCATTCCTCCACTGATGGGCACTTGGGTTGCTTCCACATGTTAGCTTTCATGAATAATGCTGCAATGAACATAGGGATGCATAAATCTCTTTGAATTGTTGATTTTGTATTCTTTGGATAAATACCCAGTAATGGAATAGCTGGATCATATGGTATTTCTATTTTCGGTTTTTTGAGAAATTTCCAGACTGTTTTCCATAGCGGCTGCACCAGTTTGTGTCCCCACCAGCAGCATATAAGGATTCCATTTTCTCCACATCCTCTCCAACACTTGCTATTTCTTGTCTTGTTATTTGTAGCCATTCTGATGGGTGTGAGGTGATATCTCATTGTAGTTTTGATTTGCATCTCCACTACAAGCTTTACAGCAGCCTTTCCCAGACTGCAAAAAGCCTCAACTAAAATGCATCCTGCACTTCCCAGTGCTTGGACTAAAGCAGCCAGTGTTTCTAGACAGCCTTTTACAAGGTATGACTTGAAAGAGATCAGAATTTTCCCAAAAAGATGCCCTTGTACCAGCCTGTTCTTATATATAAAACACTCACAATAGTTACTCCTACTAAAGTTAATTCAATTGGTGTTCAGTGAATGTTTATTTTGGGGACCTATTTTGCATAGGAAAGAGATTTTAGGCGTGACATAGGAATCAACATTGGATTAACTGGTGTTCTTAAGAAGCGTTAAGTCAACAGGGAAGGTAAGGCATATGTGCAATATTCTATAATGATTATTATCATTTGTAGAGTGCTTATTATGCACTTGATTCTTTACATATATTTTGTTGAATGCTTAGAACTGCCTTGCAAAGCAGGCTTTTGTATCTCACTTTTACAAATTGGGAAACTGAGATTAAGGAACTTCCCCAATTTCCCACACCTAAGAAGTGGTAGAAAGGGTTTGAACCCCAATCTGTGTGGCCCCTTCACTAGTTCCGTGCTTCTTCCCTACAAATAGTCCATAAAAAATAAGCAATGAGTTATCTGAATGGTATAAACAAAGTGCCAGAGAAGCAGAGATGAAGAAGGTGATCACTTCCGGCTGTGATGATTGGGGAAGGTGTCATGATGGAAAACATTGGAGCTGGGCCTTTAAATATGGCAGTGGGAGGTGGTACAGGAGGAATATATTCTATATTCTAGACAGAGGGAATGGCTTCAGCAAAAGCATAGAGATGAGACTGGTTTGGATCATGGAGAATGGTATAATTAAATATGTAAGATTTATACTGAGGGGCTAACAGGAGGCAAGGCTGGAAGGGTAAGTTGAGGCCAGATTGTGGAGAGTCTTAATGACAGGTGAGGAGAAAGATCTCTTTTTTTGAGGCAGTGGGGAGCTATTAAAGCCCCCCTCATCCTCCAAGAACTGGGGCCATATATAGATTAAATTTAAAAGGAAAATGAGGCTACAGTAAACTATCATAGATGATAAGCTCTGAGAGCAATGGTGGTGGGAAGCAGACTGGAGGGTCCTGAGGAGAGAGGGCACTCTGGGACCAAGGAGAGGAGCACTATGGATCTCAGTGACCAATGGGTTGTGGAGAGTAGAGGAAAGGGATGAGTCAAAAAGACTGTTGTGGTGAGAGCCTCAGTGACCAGAACTTTGGAACCATTCACAGAAATATGGGCAACAGGAAGAGGTGTTGGCCTAGGGGAAATAACCACCTGGAAAGTGTCACGTGTTAGGTTCAGGGTCTGGTAGCCAGGTATGTTATGCTGGGAGCAGCCAAGGCAGTTGAACCCAGGGAAGTATCACAGTGGGAAGGAACCTGAGCAGAAAGGATCCAAGCCAGGGCCACTTCAGGGGTAGAAGGCTGGGACAAAGTAGGAGGACTAGGAACAGGAAAAGGAATGTAAGGAAGGAGGGCAAAAGACAGAGTAGCCTACTCCCCTCTATGCCTTTGCTTAAAGAGGGACCTTTATTCTTACAATAAATGAATGAATGATTGCAAACAATGAATGAATGTAAAGTTAGTCAATGCTTCCACCTGTCAAAGAGAGTGTGAAATAGCCAATGAGTTCCTTCGCTATCCAAAGAGAGAGTATAGCCCACTGTATATAAACCATCTTGAATCATGTAAGCTACTCCATAATGGAGCTTATTAGTATGGTTCCTAGGCTTGAGCCCAATCTTTTCTTCCTATAAAGTGAAACCAAGATGGTATGGTTTCCCTGTCAATAATGGGTTCTTAAACAAGTTTGAGCTTTGTAAGCATCACCAATATCAACATCTACTTTGGAGGCAATCACTATAAAGGAGACTCTGATAAGTCACAGGAGATGGGGAAGAGAGTATAAAAGGCAGATTAGACGAGGGAGTCTCTACCTCTGAGGCAAGGTGACCAAGCTCACCCTCCTCACTGGTGAGGAACCACTGCAATCTGTGCCTGTGAGCCACTCTCCCCCTCTTGTTTGTCTGCCCCTTTAAAACTTACTTGTATCTTTGAATTCAAACCAAATAGCCTGAGATGATTGCTTTTGGCAAAAGTACAGGGACACTGTTCCTTCCCTGGTGACAGGTCTCCCACTGCTCCGCAGTCTCCTTCCCTTCACCAAGCTTCAAGGCTCATGGCACTTGAACGGTCTTGTGAGTGGGGGTAGAGGGGTGTGGGCCTCCAGGAGAAATCCTGAGGCTTTATTACCCTCAGTAGGTTGGGAGTCTGCAGAGAGTATTAAAAGGACTCAAAGAGTAAAACAGGAAAAGTTTCCTCCTGCAAAGGAAGTGCCCGTTTACAAAGGCTGCTCTGCTCAGAGGTGCGTTCCCCTAGCTCATTTTCTCTCTGTTGATCTAAGCTCTGCTCCTTGTGCTGACAGCTGTGATAGGTGTGTGTTCTTCTCTGGATAGACTACCATATTTTTCCTTTTTTGTTTCTTCATAATTTGGAAACTCAGCATGGCCCTCTGTCCTTCTTTGAACAAAAAATATTAATTACTTTTTTTAAGGAGTTCAAAATTCCCTAACCAAGTTTAAAAGATCGGGATCATTGGCCTAAAAATCCCAAAGCTTAAACTGACTAGATAGTGGTCTTAAAAATAAATGTTAACAATAAAAAATGATATGGCCAGACATCTACATGGTGCCTTCTGCTCTGTGCAAGCATTTTCAAATCCGTCATCTGAGTTTTTAAAACAAGTCTTCTCTGAAAGGTGGACAGGAAAGGCATTACCACCCCATGTCACAGACCAGTTAACTAAGACACAAATGAGTCATATGACGACTTGTCCCAGGAAATATAGTGAGTTCATGGCAGAATCTACACCAGAAGCCAGACTCTACTCCTAGTGGACAGTTCATTTCCCCCTGGGTGACATTATTACTCTGGGCTACAGTATGCTACAAGTGCTAAATTGACTCATACCATCTTTTTTTGTGTTTTGGTGTCCAAGCGAGTAAAATGGAAATAATAATAGTACCTACCTCACAGAGTTTTGGTGAAGATTAATGAGTGAATTTAAGTAAATTACTCAGAGCGGTGCCTGGTACATAACCAGTACTGAGGAAGCATTAGCAATTGCTATTATTAGCATACAGAGGGGGCTAGACATCTAAATCAGAGTTTGCTAGCCTTGAAGTTTCATTTCAGCTGAAGGCACTGACTTCTGTCTCTTTATTTCCTTCTTGGAGGGAGTGAGCTGCCTCTAAGAGATGTCTTCATCCCTGAATTGGCTGCTAATTCTGGGTTTGCAGCAACATACAAGCTTCCCATGCAGAACTTCCCCTTCCCTTTGAGACTTAAAACAGGAAAATTATTGGAAATCTGTGGTTTCTTAAGCAATCTGTGACTCTCCAGAGAGCTTTCTCTGTAATAGTTTCTCACTCTTTTCCTCCAGGTAATAGGTTCTTCCTACCAGCTCATATACTACTTCACGAACTGGACCCAGTACTGGTCTGGCCTGGGGTGTGGAACAATGAGATCATGCTATCAAATGGAATGAAGTGACTCTACCAAGCTTTCAATGGCCTGAAAAACAAGTAAGTGATGAAAGGATGAGGTTCAAAATCTTTTCACCTTAAAGAACAGTTTGAACAAGACCTTCCACAGCAGTCTCCAGGCTGAAATTCCAAACCAGCCAACAAGCAGCACACAGGTAAATTCCAAGCTTTCTTACTATTTCCAGCACAGTGATGACTCTAACATTTAGGGGAACGGCTGGCTCACAGGAGGTGGTTGTCAATTGAAATATATCTCAGTTGCCAAGGGAAATTTAGAAAAGTCCAAGTTGTTATGGACTCAGATGAAAACAATCTTTCACTTGGAAGCAGCCCAAAGCTGGCATTGATGAAACATTCAGCGTCCTTTGTCAGCGGCTTCCCTCCAAGAGAGTAATTAGAACTGTAGAGACATTGAGACATACCAACCTTAGGTGACCTTCTCCAACCACTCTCACAATTTAGGAAACAAGGATGAGAATGAAGAAAATCAGCGTGAGAAGCCTGAGACTTCTCCTGGCTTCTCAATCGCTCTAACAGCTAATGTTGAAATGACTTATCTTTCTTTCCATTTGTTCTGACACAACTCTTTGCTTCTTTTCTCTCAGAAAGAGTCAACTGAAAACTCTCCTGGCTATTGGCAGCTGGAACTTTGGAACTGCTCCATAAGTCTTTTGAGATGACTTCCTACGTTGATTCTACTACAAGGCACTAGGACTACCAAGGCATACCCTCACTCTGCCTTCTTTAGGTCTCCCTTAGTTTCATTGCCATGGTTTTCACTCCTGAGAACCGCCAGATTTTTATTGCCTCGGTCATCAAATTCCTGTATCAGTATGAGTTTGATGGGCTGAACTTTGATTGGGAGTACCCTGGCTCTCATGGGAGCATGTCTCAGGACAAGCATCTCTTAACTGTCCTGGTGCAGGTGAGCTGCATTCCACATCATTTTGACTGGAAAACACATAACCAGTCTCATAGGAAAGATCACTGAGGTGGTATAGAAAACCTAGCTCCTTACAATCTCGGTTGGAGACAAAGGACCTGGAGACCCTATTCCAGTGAGGATGCTGAAGAATGGAGGATGGGAGATATTAATTCAAAGAGTTGTCATGGAAGTCAACTTAGAGTTGATATTCATAGACTTTCTCCTACTTGTGTGTAGGAAATGCCTGAAGCTTTTGAGCAGGAGGCCAAGCAGATCAACAATCCCAGGTTGAAGGTCACCGCTGCAGTAGCTGCTGGCATCTCCCACATCCAGTCTGGCTATGAGATCCCCCAGCTGTCCCAGGGAGTGATGACTTATCCCACAACTCCTCTGTATGTCACTTGTGCAATAGACACTCATCCTTAGTCTGCTCGCTGTTCAGGGGCCTTGTTTATGAGGCTTAGGTAGTGGTATCTTTTGCTTGCATAGGTGTGGAAATGACCATCAGAAATGTTTTTAAATCCTTTACCCCACCTCAGGTACCTGGACTATATCCATGTCACGACCTATGACCTCCACAGCTCCTGGAAGGGCTACACTAGAGAGAACAGCCCCCTCTACAAACACCCAACTGGCACTGACTGGCAGCAATGCCTACCTCAATGTGGTGAGTCCCTGCATAGATGCAGATGCTGACCAGAGATGACGTTGCAAATCACGTGGAGACTCAGGGACAAAAGGCAACATAAATTTAGTAATTTTCTCAAATGGGAAATTAAGCTCCTATAATTAGTTAACTAGTTCTCATTTACTAAAATTTCACAAACTAATTAATACTGTACTGATAATTTTATCAGATAGGAAAGAAGATTAATAGCCAATGCTTTTTTTGTGTGTGTGTGAGAAAGATCAGCCCTAAGCTAACATCTGATGCCGATCCTCCTCTTTTTTGCCAAGGAAGATTGGCCCTGAGCTAATATCCATGCCCATCTTCCTCTATTTTATATGGGACACCACCACAGCATGGCATGACAAGCAGTGTGTCAGTGCACGCGTGGGATCCAAACCCGCGAACCCCAGGCCGCCGAAGCAGAGCATGTGCACCCAACTGCTTGTGCCACCAGGCCGGCCCGCCAATGCTTTTTTTAATGAAAGAAAATGAGGTACCATTATTCATATTTCAATAAATTACAAAATGCTTCTCCCACCTTTCCCCTCTTCCTGTTCCATTTTGCTTTGTCTATTTTCTACTATTCTAACATCTTGCAAATGTATGCTATACAGAATTTCAGGTATTCACCAGTGGATCATACCATGAAAATCATGAAAAAAGACTTAGTCCTTCTCTCATATGTTTTTGGTGGGAAGGGTATATCTAAAGCCTACTTGTCAGTATGTTATTAGAAGAATTAGTTGAGATAGAGACATACCACTTCAACAGAGGTATGTCAATGGTGCTCTAAAATACATTGCAAATACTTTGTACAGCAGGTAAAACTATACAGAAAAGCTTAACTAATAATTAATTACTAGGCCATCAGTTGGGGGGGGTGTCTAGCTAACCTGCTGCCATTGCAGGATTACGCCATGAACTACGGGAAGGACAATGGTGCCCCAGCTGGAAAGCTCATTATTGAATTCCCAGCCTATGGACACACCTTCATCCTGAGCAACTCCTCCAATACTGCCATTTGTGCCCCCACCTCTGACGCTGGTCCTGCTGGGCCCTACATCAGGCAGGCATACTATGAAGTATGCTCCTGGAAATTTTAGAGATAGAGGGAAAGGTGGCTTTCTCTGACAGCCAAGGTATTCTTTGATTTAAGAGCTTCTCCCCACGTTAAAAATTAGTGACCCAAATGTGACAAAGAATCAAAATCCTAATTGAACTGAGAAATTTGCTGATAGAGCTCTAGGCCTTCTTTTGTGAGCAGCTTTCACGCACCCCTTCCCCACTTCCCCTCCCCCATGCCCTTTCACCCCTGCTACATGGGCACTTTGCCGACCTCTTGACCTCTTCCTTTTATCCTCTTATATCTGTACCTTCCTGAAGAACGGAGCTACTGAAGTGTGGGAGGCTCCTGAGGATGTTCCCTATGCTTACAAAGGTAATGAATGGCTTGGATATGACGACACCAGGAGCTTCAAAATCAAGGTGGGCTGTGTTCTATAGACTGTTGTTGTCTGTGTGTTTGTTCTCCTTTGTAGCCCTAGAGCCACAAATTGGCCTTGATGTCTGAACTTAATTGAAATCCTCTCTAATTACCACGGGCTGATTGGCTGAAGAAGAAAAACTTTGGTGGTGCCATGGTCTGGGCCATCGATTTGGATAATTTCATGGGTACTTTCTGCAACCAGGGCAAATTCCCTGGTTCTCACTGATCATGACCCCAAAGGATGCCCTGGGCCTGCAGAGTGCAAGTGAGTGAGGGGGTGAGAAAGGACACTAAGCCTCAAACTTGAGAAAAATCTCAAAGTCTTCTTGGAAGTGGGAGAGCCACTGTATAAGTGATTCTATGACCATTGCTCGATTCATATTTAGTAATGATTCAGCAATGGTGGGGAGAACAAACAGGGTTCTTCACCATTCCTTTATCCATCCATTCATTTCACAAGCAATTTTTTGAGCATCTATTATGTATGCGACACTATGTAGCTACCACAGGGGATCCCAAATACTTCAGTTACAATCTCTACTCTATAGAAGCTCATAATCTAGTTAGAGAAAGAGGATTGATGCAATTACCAAGTTAGATAACAACACAGAAGATATTACATGGTTAAGTACCAGAAAAGGGATAAGAAACTTTCTTGTGAGTTCACGGCAGTGAAAAGTCTCAAAGCACCAAGCAAATCCAGGAAGGAGGAAAAAAATGAACTGGGCCTCGAAGTATAAAGAGGGAGTTGATAAGCAAAGAGGAGAGGGGAAGGAGAGTATATCAGATCAGGAGACTGAATTATGCAAAGTCATAGAAGCAGGAGCTAAGAACAAAATGCAGGGTATTAGTTCTCACATGTCAGGTATCATTGACTAAAAGCAGGGGGGCTCAGGATCTGGTTTCTTTCTTTCAGGTTGCAAAGCCCCAGCCCTGCCCATTGCTCCCATCACTGAGGCTCCCGGTACAGGCAGTACCAGCTCTGGGGGCAGCCTTGGTGGCAGTGTGTTCTGTGCCAATAAGGCCAGTGGCCTGTACCTTGACCCTGCTGACAAAAATGCCCTCTACAGCTGTGTGAATGGACAGACCTTCACTCAGCACTGCCAGCCTAGCCTAATCTTTGATGCTTCCTGTGCCTGCTGCAACTAGTAAAATGTTTGCCATAGCAAGGAAGCCAGTCTGGTTGCAGAAAAGGGAGCAAGGGCAGAGGAGTCGTAGAGGAAGTTATAGGAGGTGTGGTCAGAAAAGAGCAGATTGTTTAGGGCAGGGGTTGGCAAATGTTTTCTGTAAAGGACCAACCAGCAAATATTTTAGGCTTTGTGGGCCACGTGGTCTCTGTCGCAACCACTCAACCCTTCTGTTGTAGTAGTGTGAAAGTGGTCAGAGACAATACATAAATAAACGTGGCTGTGTTCCAACAAAATGTCATTTACGGACACTGAAATTTGAAATTCATATAATTTTTATGTGTCATGACATATTGTTTTTCTTTTTATTTTTTTCCTCACCCATTTAAAATGTAAAAACAATTCTTAACTCTCAGGCTACCGTACAAAAACAAGTGGTAGGTTGAGCTTGGCCCTAGATAGTAGCTTGCTGACACCTGGTTTAAGGCCTTATAGGGCATTATAAGGACTTCACTTTTACTCTGAAAGAATGAGGAGCCTTTGAAGGTTTTCTAAGAGGACAAATGACTTGATTTGACCTCCATTTTTAAATAATCAATTGGCTGCTTTGTTGAGAATGCACAGTTTGGAGGCGATTGCAGTGATCCAGGAGAGAGATGATGGCTCAGAACAGGGTAGCAGCAGTAGAGGTGGTCAGAAGTGATTGAATTTAGGCTGTATTTTTAAGCTTCTTTTTAGCTAGACAGATTTCTTTATGGGTAGTATATAGAATATGGGGGGGGGGGGGGTTCAAGGATAATTCCAATATTTGGCCTGAGAAACTGCAAATATAGAATTGTTATCAACTGAAATGAGAAAGGCTGAAGGTAGAGGGGGTTCTGGAGGAAAGTCATGAATTCAATTTTGGAAACACTGAATTTAAGATTCCCATTGGATTTCTAAGGGGAGATGTTGAGTGGGCAGTTGGACATAAAATTTTTGGAGTTTGGTATGCGGTTGGTATTTAAAGTTAATAGATTGGATGAGATCGTTAAGAGAGTGAGTATAGATAGGAAAAGAGTCCAAGGACTGAGCCCTGGGCATTCCAACATCCAGAGGCTGGAGAGAAGAGTAGGAACAAGTAATGAAGACCAAAGAAGAAGGGATGTGTGAGGTAGAAAACCAAGAGGGTCAAATATCTGGAAAACCAGGGGATCAAAGGTATCAAGGAGAAAGTGATCAACTGTGTCAAATACTGCTGATAGGTCAAGTAAGATGAAGTCTGAGAACTGACCGTTAGATTTAACAACACGTAGGTCATCAACAAGAGTACATTTAGTACACGGCTTGGTGGCAAAAGCCTGCGGGGAGTAGGTTTAAGAGAGAATGGGAGGAAAAGAATTGAAAACAGAGTACACAAAACTGTCTGAGTGTGCCTCAAAGGGAAGCAAAGAAATGGATTAACAATAAAAGATTGTGGAAACTGGAAGCTGGATTATGCTTTTAAGCTCATACTTCAATTTTAGAGGTATGAAAGATAAAAATTTGACACTCTTTCAATACCTCTCACCTCCTGATTTTTATGTTATTATTTTCACTTAGTCAAAATTTTTAATATCACCTTGTTTTATAACAGAACTACAGTCTTATATATATATTTTGTGTGTGTGAGGAAGTCCAGCCCAGAGCTAACATCCGATGCCAATCTTCCTCTTTTTTGCTGAGGAAGACTGGTCCTGGGCTAACATCTGTGCCCATCTTCCTCTACTTTATATGGGACGCCACCACAGCATGGCTTAACAAGCGATGCTTCGGTGCACGCCCGGGATCCGAACCAGCGAACCCAGGGCCCCGCAGTGGAGCGTGTGCACTTAACCGCTTGTACCACCAGGCGGACCCTACAGTCTTATATTTAAATAAATGTGATGTTCATCATCAGTACTTATACTACAGCTTCTCATTGGTTGTGTTTTTGTTTGCCAAGAAGGGCTTGCAGCAGTTGTCTTCCATTTTCTTGCATGTATGGAAATGCCTGACTGTTGTCTTTATACTTGATCAATAGCTTGCCGGATATAAAAGTCGTGGTTCACTCTTTTTCTCAAAATTTTGTATTACTCCTTTTTTTGTCAGACATTGCATATTGAGCTAGTTCTTTCCTCATGGCTTTTTCATTTACTTTTTGTTATTGTTATTGTTAGCTGACTGCAGTTGAATAGTTTTTTTCAAGGAGTGCTGTGGCTGCTAGAGTCCATTCATATTTGAGAACATCTGCCTCTTCCCTTTATACTTGAAAAATTCCTTGGCAGAGTACAATATGACAGGCTAATACTCTTTTTTCTTCAGAACTCTGTAGGTGTAGAGGAAACCTCTTAGTGCTATTTCAGATCATCTCTGCCTTACCCTTGGATTTCAGCCACAACTGCAGCAACCAGCTCTGCATAAGCTTCAACCATCTTCATGGAGTCATAGTACCTTGCCTCAGACCTGTGCCATGCACTTCTTGCTTCCCATTCTGGAGCTTCTCAGACACAGGCTTCCACTAAAGCAGGGGAGAACATAGACATACGGAGGAGTTAATGTTAGCTCATCCTTGGGAGTCAGGAGACCATGGTGTTTGCACTTTTCTTCCCTAGATGGTCTAGAAACACATTTGTAAAACTTCTAAGACAGTCTCAAGGGATTGAGCATCCAGTTGCCCCTAGCAGCGGCCAACTTGATAATGTATTTTTGTATTGGCCCTCCCTTCTTCCCTGTTTCATTCCTCCATCTTTTACTCTTGCTCCCTGAATTCCTCTCCCAAATAAATTACTCTTATACGAGCTACTTCCAGGTAAACTTAGCCTTAGGTAGCAGGAATTTCTCCATTGTGTTCTTGCACTGAATAATGTTGTGGTGATGTTTGAGGCCAGTGTGTACTCACTACCCCTTCATCAACCCATATTTTTTAAGTTATATGATATTTTTTTCCATCTGGTGCCTGAAGAATTCATTAGTTATTCTTGAAGTTCAATAACTTAACCAGAATTTGCCTTGGTTATGATGGTTCTTTATCAATTTCTCCTGGAAGGCAGTTGAGAGGTAAGGGTTAACTTAAATGATGCCTTGCAGGATGGCTTCCTGGAGAGGAAGTTTGCCTGCTGCCTCTGGAAACCAACTATAGCCTATAGTCTAGGGTTTAATGCAATCCATCCTCGCAGAGAGCTGACATGGTGGATCAGGACCTCAGCCAACTTTCCACCAAGTAGTGATGCTGTAATCACAAAGGTTGGATCACACCAGGGGAAGGCCGAGTGTTGTCTCAATCTATGAATGCTGAGATAGTGGACAGAGCTGAAAGCCAAGATTCTGCTACACCATACTGCTGTTAGATCCTATTCCCTAATCTACTAGGAGGAGTTTGGTTCTTTAATAATTAAGAAGTGTAAAAACCCCGACATCCATGGCCCAGGGTCTCTCTCTCAGACCTAGATTTGCACTCTGCTAGATTGTTGTGTGCTACCTGAGAATAAGATGGTTGTGGGCAGATCGTTCACCTGGTATTGCTTCAATCTCTGTATTTTCCTCCAACAAACATAGTTCCAGAAAGCCTAGTTTGCATGCTGTTTGACCAGTCACCCTTAATTGCTTGACAGTTGGTGCAGAGAGCTTGATGTCAGACTTGGGGCATCCACCGTGGCCTTCTAAGTGACTTGGGATTAGAAAAGTCTGCCTGGAGTATTGTGACCCATTACCTTTGAAGATTGTTGTGGCAGTCACAGAAACTAGTCCTCCAAATTCCTGAAGATCCAGTGTGATGAACAGAGAATGGATGGTTAAGATCACCCAGCCCAATATTCCAGAGTTTTTATTAATGACCTTGAAGGAAGTTGCTCAAAGGATAATTGAGAGGAGCCTGAATCAGCATCTTTGATGAAATTACAATTCGAAAACTTCAACTGGTTGAATGTGAAGTGATTTTTTTATACAGCCTTGTGCAAGCAGGATCAAAAAAATAAGCCACTTCTCTGACTCTCTTCCTTTGACTGGTAAGGTCAGTTCAAAATGGCATGGGTTATTGGGACATTAGTGTGCTACATGGCCCAGTTAAATGGGGGCAGAAAAGGGGAAAGATGATGTACGTGACTTATGTGATTAGTTCCCCACAACAGGTGAAGAAGATGATCCCAAGATCTTCTGGGCTTGGGCTGATTGAAGCAACAGAACTGCTGGGTAGACTACTACTGATGTTCCATCTCAGAAGTCTATGTAATTATGGCTTTTAGATAAAGAGTTCAAAGACAACAAAATTGATGATGGTTCCTATCCTCATTTATGGAAAAAAAAAAAATACCAGCTTGTAGGTACCCTCTTAGTGACTGCCAAAGGGATGGGTGCAACTAGACTGATCACTTAGTGAGTTAGACAGAGGGAAGATTAGGGGACAGCATATCCAAAACACATGATGGCGAGGAACTCAAAATCATACCCTATTTCTACAAGATTGATGGTAAAGCAGTTGGCCAAATGGGGTGGCACTGGGGGGTTGTCATAGTCAACCATTCCCTGGCACCTCCTGACTTGACGAGTTGGAGGCACTAACTTTCTAACTGGAGATAACCTCCACACATTGTCAAGCATTGAAGAGATAATTCTATTTACTATTGTAATGTCTGCTATGGACAGAATTGTGTCCCCAAAAATTCATATGTTGACGCCCTTACCCCCCATGTGACTGTATTGGAGATTGGGCCTTTAAGGAGGTAATTAAGGTTAAATGAGGTGGAGCCCTGATCCTATAGAACTGGTGCCCTTATAAAAGAGGAAAAGACACAGAGATCTCTCTTTCTCTGCCATGTGAGAATATAGCTAGAAGGCAGCTGTCTATGAGCCAAGAAGAGAGCTCTCACCAGAAACTGAACCCTGTCAGAACCTTGGTCTTGGACTTTCCAGCCTCCAGAACTGTGAAAAAATAAAGTTGTGTTGTTTAAGTCACTCAGTCTATGGTATTTTTCTTATGGCACCCTGAACAGACTAAGACAATGTCCAAACATAATCTGATGGCTA